GGAAAATTAACACTGATAACCATAAAAATATAAAATAATTGATTAAGTAATTATATTAAGAGTACTATAATTAAAGTATCCGATATATACTTATGTAATATGACAGTGCAACTCACTTTCCATTTTATTTATTATTTTAAAATTTATCTGTTCTGAATTTTTAATAAATAAATAAATCAAAACTTTGATAACACTAAAACATATAGATTGTTATCTGCATATGTTACAATTTAAAGTCCAAGAACAGACAAAACCACTCCAAACGAATATAAATTTGAAGAAAAAAAATAAATTAAACTTATGAATTTGAGCAAATAAAATAATACTCCATAGTTCAGCTGGAACCAAGTTAATTATATATATATATATATATATATATATAATTTCTCAAATGCGCGTATATCAGTCAAATACTCAAATTAAACATCTGAATTTGAGCAACGAGAGGAAACCAAACCACTTTAACAAAAACTACCCAGTAATAATAACATACTAGCTAGGATAAGACTTGCGATTTGCGCACGATGATTATATGTAATTAAATATAAAATTTTAGTATTGAAAAATTTAATATTTACATATGATTATTTTTTTATGTATTTGGAATTTTGGAGTTTTTATATAATTATCTATACGTAGGATTAACAATAATTGTAATTAGAAATATAGATCAAAAATTAGAATTTAATGGGTCCGGTTAATATATATTTTCACTTTTCAGTGTTTGAGTGATGAAAAATAAATGAAGGGCCACGTGACTTAATTGATAGAGCATTATCAATTTTCCTAATGATTTCTTAAGAACCAGTTGGTAGAATATTTTCATTTAGAATATATAAAGTTTTATAACTAATTTAATATAATTTATTTATTTGTCTAATAATATCAAAAATTTATATTTTAAAAACCTTTTTTAAATAAAAATAATTTTATAAAAATCAAGGTAAATTTTAAATTATAATTATGTTTAAAATAATATTATTTATTCATAAGATCTGATATATATATATATATATATATATATATATATATATTAACATAAACACCTATAAAATAAAATTATTTATTCATATGATTTTATAACCATTGTAACTTATTATAAAAAATAGACTTTGATCACAAAAATCTATGTTAGATTTTTAACAGTCTTAGTAATTTATACTTGTTTTGAAAATTTCAAAATACAACATATATAAAAAAAATCTAAATTTTATAATATGATTAGTGTAGTTGTGTAATTTATTTTAATAATAAAAATAAACAAAAATGATATAAAGTATACATATTCTTAACAAATATTTATTATTTAAAATCGTTAATAGTCATATATATCTTAATCACATTAGGTAATTCCGTAGGTTTTATTTAAGGAAAAAATATATAGGAGATTTAGTTTGATTTATTATTTAGTTTGATATGTTTTATATGAGACCAACGAACTGTGTTTTATATGAGATGCTATAGAATCCTTCTAAACTGAAATAAAAAACATAAAAATGTGACATGTAGGATAGAGTTATATTTTAATTAATACAATTTAAGATTACAACTTTTCAAATATTTTTTAATTAAAATATAGGAGATACCTCTTACACCACCAATGGGTGCATGTATACTATTTTACTGATACAGCATTCTATATTTACCATTTATTTTTCAGTTCTTCGATTTGCTTAGAAAAGAAACAAGAAACAAGAAAACATCTTTGATTACGATTAAAAGGAACAATCTCAAATAGACCAAGATCAAATTTCGGGTAATTTCTTGGTGAACATGATCTGCCATAATCTCTTCGAGGAACATCAATTGAAAATCTTCGCGTATGTCTCATAGGTTCCATTTTAATCAGCTGTATTTTTGCTGAAAGTCCTTTTCTTATATACATCAATAATCATATAATTTGACATAACTGGAAAAGTTAAACTAGACTTATAGGTATGGTTGCACATCGATTAGAACTTTTTTATTTATCTGTTGCAATGGAACATCTTTATTTAGTCCCTTCATCAATGAGCGACCAACCAAAAGAAATTGTCCTTTTTGTTTAAAAAGATAGTGAAAAATAAAGCGTGTCTTTGCTCCTACTTGCACCTTCCTTATCTCAGTCAGACCTTTAACCCATACAACTAAACTCTTACTTTTCTCCGTTGTTTTTTTTTTGTCAATTTTCTCCGTTGCTTCTACTCCTCAAATCACACAATACCATTATAGTATTTTTTATCACATCATAACAATATTAGCTGCCAAAAAAATATGTACGATTAAAAAGCATGATGTTGAATCCAAGTAGAAAAGTTGGACTTGAGAGTCAAAGCAAGTTGTTTTATTCCAGAAACATGGTCCAGTTACGCCCTAATAATTGGATACATACAAACTCTGAAACAAAACAAAAGAATATAAAAATACTTAATAGAAAGGAAAAGGTTATAGAAAAGAAATATTCTCCTCAAATTTGAACTAAAGTTTGAGAATTTGAAGTCGAACTATTTCACACGTAATGTTACTCTAGCCCTCTTATTTTTGTCTCTCCTATAGACCTCTACGTACTGATTTAGGATGTACTAAAACATTGTGTTAAAAAAAAAAGGATGTACTAAAACATTTGATTTTTGGTAATCTTGTGTAGTTTTTAATATATATACATGTATACAAAGCATGCACCAATTATATAGCAGACGATTATTTAATTTCCTCAGTGAAAAGTTTATATCAGTATTCAATAAAAGAATTTAAAGAAAAAAATAGATACCTTATTCTATTTTCCAAAAATAAAACTCATTATCTCTATTTTTAAAGGATGGTTAAATAATATGTTTACCAAATGATGAGGGGTACTCAAGACTCCAGCTGTGATACATCTTGCATGCAATATTGCAATGTCTTGATATGAGCCTCCTTTTGTTCACCTACTCTCTTCTCATTTATTTTATTAAGTACTCCTCCCACTATATATACCAATCTTCCCTCTTATCTCTTCCTCACATTCCTCACCAAACACACGCACACACAAATATGTCTTCCTCCAAAATATTCTTCTTCTCAGCTCTTCTCGCGGCTGCGTTTTCAGCCTCCGCAGCTGACTTCAACAGCGACGTCAACGTAGCATGGGGAAACGGCCGTGGAAAGATACTCAACAACGGCCAGCTTCTTACTCTCACCTTAGACCAGTCCTCGGGTTCTGGTTTTCAATCCAAGGCAGAGTATTTGTTCGGAAAGATCGATATGCAGATTAAGCTAGTTCCCGGTAACTCGGCAGGAACAGTAACAACTTTCTACGTAAGTAACTTAGCCTAGGAGTGTTTTTAATGTGATTTAAATTTGATTATCTTGATATAAGTGTTTGTTTGTTTTTCATAAATTGCAGCTGAAGTCAGAAGGATCAACTTGGGATGAGATTGATTTTGAGTTCTTGGGTAATATGAGTGGAGATCCTTATACTTTACATACTAATGTTTACACTCAAGGTAAAGGTGACAAAGAACAACAGTTCCATCTCTGGTTCGACCCAACCGCGAACTTCCACACTTACTCAATCCTCTGGAACCCTCAAAGAATCATGTAAGTAAAACAGAATCTCACCCTTCTTACTCCGCAAGAAACACTCAATAAAACCCTAACTAAAGTTCATTTATGTTTTTATCCGCATCTCCTAAACATAGATAAATGAAACATTGACATTACATCCCCCAATTCTTTTACATAATATGTATGAAGATAAGTCCTTAAATTGTTTTTTTTTAAATTACTATTTTATTTTAATAATTTGCTTAAAGCTTACAGGGTCAACACTTTATCATCTAATATGTTCTGTTTATTATTTTTTATTTTGCTCAGATGGACAGTCGATAATACACCGATAAGAGAGTTCAAGAACTCTGAGCCGCTCGGTGTTTTGTTTCCAAAGAGCAAGCCGATGAGGATGTACGCGAGTTTATGGAACGCAGATGATTGGGCAACTAGAGGTGGTCTGGTTAAAACAGATTGGTCAAAAGCTCCGTTCGTGGCTTCTTACAGGAACATTAAGTGTGACGGGTGTGCTCATGCCAACGGGAGGTCGTCCTGTAGCTCGACGAGACCAACCTCTAATTGGTACACTCAACAAATGGATTTGACGAGCCAAGCTAGGCTCAGATGGGTGCAGAAGAATTACATGATCTACAATTATTGTACGGATAGTAAGAGGTTCCCACAAGGAACCCCTCGGGAATGTGCAACAAACGCATAGACTTTTAAATTATTCTATACTCTATATTCTCTATGTCCCTCTCTGCTTTTCTTTTTCTTCTATATATGTGGATGCTCTGTTACTTCTTTTCTTACTTGTGTTTGATTCTTTTGAATGTATATCTTTGTCCAATAAAGCAAAGGGTGTGTCTACATATGTAAAAGATATCGTTTGTGAAAAACAATACTATGTTTTATGAGAATGATAGTTCTTTTTATATAGGTAAAAATGATGATTTGCTTCACTTATATTGTAAACAATTTGAGAGACGTGTTAAATGCATCCCAAAATGCAGTGAATGCAAAAAATGTCAATATAAAACAAATTATTACTCCTTCCATTTTAAAAGATAATTTTTAAATCGAAGATAAAAATGTATGTATAATAAAAAAATACAATGTGTTATTAATATATGTAAGAGAACATGAAATAAACTACAAATTTAAAACGCAAATTAGTTTTAAAAAAAGTTCATCAAAAAATTACAATTAGTAACCAAAATACTATCGATATTGATTTTTTCCAGTAACAAATTTATTTGTTAGTATCACATAGAATGAATGAGATTGATGAATGGATCTTCTAGATTCATTTAAGATAATAACAAGTCATTTAAATTTGCAAACTTTAACTTAAAAATCCCATTAAAGTTGAATCAACTCATAAACGACGTCGCATCCGTGTACGCTGTCGTTTCACGATCCCTCCTCCTTTCAGTAATTTATACTCCTTCGCTTCACCATCAGATCTGATCATCAAAATCTCTTCACCGACACCAAAAAAAAAACCAAAAACAAAAAGCCTCCGGCGAGAAATCGAAAATTCACAGAATGTCTCACAACGACACGATCCCACTCTACCAATCGTCCCAATCAGACATCGACGAGATCGAGAACATGATGAGCAACAACGGCTTCCAATCAAATCCCGGATCCGTCCTCCCCGCTCGTCCCCCAAGCCCGACCCGCCCCTCCATACCCGTCTCCTCCTCCTCCTCTCCCTTCGTCCAATCCAACCTCCCACCGCTTCCTCCGCCGTCTTCCTCCGCCGCCGCGCCGAAAGTGACGCCTGTCCCAGCCCCTCCTCCGCCGTCGTCGGGGTTCGGGTCGGCGCCGAACACGTTGACGGAGCCGGTGTGGGATACGGTGAAGAGGGATCTGGCGAGGATAGTGAGTAATCTGAAGCTGGTGGTGTTTCCGAATCCCAATAGGGAGGATCCTGGCAAGGCCCTTAGGGATTGGGATCTTTGGGGTCCCTTTTTCTTCATTGTTTTCTTGGGCCTTACGCTTTCTTGGTCTGCTTCCGTCAAGAAGGTAATAATGACAAATTCTTAGCTTTAAAGAGTTTCTGCTTCTTTTGGCATTGCTCCTTAGGGCTAAGGCATAGATATTGTTAAAATTGTTAAAAAATCAACCATTAACTCATGTAGCCATAGAATGAGGAATCTTTGAAGTCATTTTAAAGGTGACATTTTTGGCTGGATTGAGAGTTTCTCTTGAATGATGATTCCAGTGGCATTGATCTTAGGCTAAGGCATCCCTAGACACTGCAATTTTGTTGGCTGATTTTGATTTAACACGTATATAACTGATTCAGTGATTGAGCAATAACCAACACAATAATGTGGTGGTCTTTAGTTACATAAGCTTATGTGGCCAAAACGATTCGATGCGTGTTGTCAGTCTTTCATAAATTGATGGTTGGTACAGTAGAGTGAGGAATGTTTGAAGTCATGTTAAAGGTGGTGACATCTTTGCTGGATTGAGACTTGAGAGTTTCTCTTGAATGATGCTTCTAGTGGCACACTGCACACTGCAGTTCCTGGTTTCATTGCTCTCCTCTGTGTTGCGTTGGCAATATTTTATGTCTAGGATCTGATTTATGATTAACCATATTGTAAATTTAACCTTTTAAGTGTTGTAGTCACGTAAAGCTTATGTGGGCCAAACGATGGATGTGGTCGGTGTTTCAGATATTCCTGCTTGAAAATTGTTTCTGTAGTGAGATTTATGAACGTACTGAATAAGAAAATGTGAAATCATTAGGTTAGGAGCTGGCTGTTTTGTTCTTTTTGTTGTGTTTATGCTTGATATAGCTGAAAAATATCTGTTCGCTTTGGGCAATGTCTAAATGTTATTAACTCTTAGTCATATGTATATAAGCTACATCTGTGTTTTCACTTCCATCTAGATTCGTCCTTTCTTTGCACTTTCATCCCAGGTTTGAGTCCCTGAAGTCACAAAGCATTACATGTTTACATATCCTCTAGAAGCACGTTCATTGTCTGTTGCAATTGCATTTGGTCTCATTCTTTTTTTCTCTGTAATTTTCAGTCCGAAGTGTTTGCCGTGGCCTTTGCACTACTTGCAGCTGGAGCAGTGATCCTCACACTAAATGTGCTGCTCCTGGTAAGTGTACACATTTGATTCATGTATAGTTACATGCATTCGGTTTCTTCTTGCAAGTTTTGAATTTTAAAACATCTCATTTTCGCTGTCCTAAAACAATATGCAATATACAGGGCGGGCATATAATCTTTTTCCAAAGCTTAAGCCTTTTGGGCTACTGTCTGTTCCCACTGGACGTTGGAGCAGTGATCTGCATGTTAAAGGACAATGTTATACTCAAAATGATCGTAGTCACTGTGACTCTTGCGTGGAGCTCGTGGGCCGCTTACCCTTTCATGAGCGCTGCTGTGAACCCAAGAAGAAAAGCTCTAGCACTTTACCCGGTCTTCCTCATGTATGTGTCTGTTGGATTCTTGATCATTGCCATTGATTAGTTGGATCTGGAAAATGGAAAAATCAGAGACACGTTCTATGATTCAGTTTCGAAATCATTTGGCATACAGAGTAGAATAGAAGTTTCTAAATCCGTGAGTTCTAATGAGATCATATGTATAATGTGTTCTTTTAACACTTTTTGTTTTCTTAAAGTCTGGTTTGACTTTATATTTTTTTGCTCTTTGTATGAAACTTGCGGTTCTTTTTTGGAAGGTATATATAATATGTAAGACCTTGATATGTTTTATATGCTTCAAATTGGTCATACCAGATAATAATAGTTTTAGTAAATTAGGAGCTATAGATTTGTACAAGAATGCAATGAAAAGTTAGCTCATTAATTAAATTACTACACCAACAAAAAGGCTGAAAAGAGAAAACTTAACAAAAAGGCTGAAAAGAGAAAACTTACCTTGAGAAGACTAATATGTCTGAAACACAATTACATCAAAGAGGTCAAATTATGACGAAGTTATGTTATTATGACATTTTCGAATCATGTTGTGGTGTTTGGAGAGGGTGTGATTAGAATGATTTTGGTTTATTCACATTTAAGTGATTCAAATTTCATATTGTGAACACTTCTTAGTTGTTATCCCATGTGTTTCACATGCCACCCTCAACAATTAAAATCAACTAAATAACATTGAGTTTCAGTTTATTATCTGTGCAAAATCTCAAGAATGAGTCATTAGCATTTGACTCTTCTAAACCATAAATTAAAAAGAAAAAGAGTTTATTATTCAGTTGGGCCAAAAATTGGTGGGTCCAGAAAGCTTTGAGAACAATCCCCTGTGGCTGTGGGTAAGACCATACATTACCTAACGCTGTCTTCCAATTAAATAAATAAAGTCATTGATAAAGTATGGTCGATTAGTGCAGGCTACCCATCTTCGATAAAACTACTTTTTAAAAATTGAAGTGTGAAGAAGCGGAAAAGATTCATTCTTTCTTTTCTTGCAGAAGAAAAAGGAAGAGAAGAGAAGAGAGGCAGGCTCTGTTTTGGGGTTTTCTCCTCTTCGTTTAGCTCGTAGACCCATTTATTGAATCTTCGTAATTGAGGGTTTTTGATTGGTTTAGAAGGATGATGGTAGCTAAAAGCTTCGACCTTTGGCAAAAAGATGCCTTTTTCTCCGCCGCCGAGGAGGTTCAACAATCTGCCGATACGTATGTAACATCCTTTTTCATTTATTGATGCTTTGTGAGATTGAAAGATGGTTCCTTTAGACTAGTAGTTCGTTTTTTTTGAGGATTGGTTGGTTCTAGCATCATCTAAAGTGATGACGTATGTGTATTTGATTCTTGTATTGAGCTGTTTTTGTGTTGTTTTCAGGATGGAATCTGCATATAGGATGTGGGTTAACGACAAGAGAGAAAGTGGTCGAGTCTCTGTAGAATCAGACCACTTCTGTAATGAACTTCAAGCAGCTTTGAGCACAGCTAAATGGCAGGTTTGATTAAAAAGCTTCACACAACTAACAAAAAAAAAACTGTTCTTTTGAATCATTCTCTCATGGGTGATGTTTGTGGTTTTTGAATTAGTTGGAAGAGTTTGAGAGAGCAGTGAGGTTGAGTCATGGACATTGTAGAGACGACACTACTACGTTGACTAGGCATAAACAGTTTGTCACCGCTATAGAAAACCAGATTCATCGTGTAGAATCTGCTTTAAGTGAGAACGGGGAGCAACCTCTGCGTTGGGTGGATCTTAACAAAGAAGAGCGTGATGATCTTGCCATGTTTCTCTCTGGATCTTCGCAGACTTCTGAGAGTTTTAGCAGTGAGAGTCCCCCTGATTGTGTGATAGACATTGACGAGAGAGGTAGCCCTGAAAGTGCTGGTAATAGAAACGGTACAAGAAGAACATGGAGTTCACCTAATATTCCTGATGTTAGCGCGTTGAGGATTAATGTTCATGTTGGTGCCAAAGAAGAGGAGAGGAAGAGATTTGTGTCAGACATAGAAGCTACTCCTAAAGAAAAAGGGTATAAGCCTCTGTTTTGGATGCAGAGATGTCGTGATTATAACCAGGTAAGGCTTGGCTTCCTCTAGTGAAAGTTCATCTTAATACGATGAGATGGGATTATTATAAGTCTTTAGTTGTTTACTATTTTTTTTGCAGCTCTTTGACAGAGTCAGATACTATCAAAGGCGGTTTAGCGTTCCATTTAACCGACCGGTTCAGCTCATTCTTTCCTTCACGCTGCTTTTGTTTCTTCTATGTGAGTCTCTCTTCTCTCTAGGGTTCTCATATTGTTTCATCAGATTCTCTTTCAACAGTTCTAATTTCTGTCTTTGTTTCTTCTGTTTCAGTACTCTTTCGAGCTTATTAATCTTTACAGGTGAATAATTTTTTGATAAATCTAAATTTATAAGTTCAAGTTTTCTACAACAGGCTTCGAACTTTACATCCTTCTTGCAGGTTAATTTCACAGATTCTTGCGTGTTGGTCACGCCAATTAGATCCTACATGATATTCAACATCCCTCAAAAAGGGTGAGAGATTAAAAAGGCTTTGTGAAGAACCGAAGAAGAACAAGCCTGCTTTTCTATTTCGATTATCCTCAGGGAACATAACATAGGAACCTGTAAAGTTGTATACCTATTTGTAAAACTTGAAGCTACGTTTCGTGAAGTTTATAAGTGTTTCTGAAGAAAACCAATGCGTGTTGTTTTCATAACTGTCCCCTTCATTCGCTGGTGCACTTAATAAAGTTCCACAGCTTAACAGTTTCACATACATCACACAGATTAAAGTCTTTCTATCTTTATTAGTTAGGATTTTGTTTGTGTATTATTGTTGCAATAGAAAAATCATGGTTCTAAAAATGCCTAGACCCCGCTTAGGCGGCGCATAAATCCTGCTTAAGCAGCAAATCAGTCTTACACTAAATCATTTTTCAGAAAATTTGATTTACACGATTCAAATCAATTTAATCCATTCTAAATCGGTTAAAATCGATTTAAATAAATTTATATATGTTAAACTAAATATTAAGCTTAGTAAAAGATCAAAATATTTCATAATTTTTCTTTTCTATATCTAATTTTGATTATTCATCAAAATAATTAAATGTCTAGCTATGTGTGATAACTATTTCTTATCGAAAAAGTTTTACAACTTTTGAAATATTTTGACAGTTGTTTTAGGAGAGAAAAAGTAAACATGACAAAAGAAATAAGGGACGTAACTTTTATATAAAACCCATTAAATTAGTTAAAACAGATTTCAAAAATTGTTGCAAAATGCTGTAAAATTCTTTCTAGACAAGCTCAAAACAATCCGAATTGTTTTGGGCTAAACATACACATATCTAAGTAAACAACTGGGCCGGAATACTCTACTAATGGGCCTTTTCAGAGATATCAGGAGGCGTACACAGTCGTTGTAATAGCAACGAATCTTGAAACTCCCGAAACCAAAAACCCTAAGCAGAGCTCTCGAAGTAAGAAGGAAGGAAAGGCGATTTGCTTCATCCAAATCTTCGACTCATAAAACCATGGCTGTAAGTTTCCATCTCTTTGATTCTGAGCTTCGATTCCTAAATTGATTTCTTCGTAGACCTTAAAAGGTTAAGAATTTGTACTTGGTTCCCTAGTATTTAGGGTTTACAAAAGCTCCCAACTTTTGGCGTTCTGAGCCCATTCTTCTCGATTTAGCTTGGTATAAGTATATATTGGAGCACCAAGATTGTTGGGTTTGGACTTAGCGGATACAGTTTCGAGAATCTAGGGTTTATCGTGAAAGTTGATTTGTAATTTGAGCTAAGAATAATAACTTGCATTCAATTGTTGAAGTGTGATGGATGAGAAGAAAGTGTGTGATTTGATACATGTTTTTTTGTGTTTTTGATGAAAATTTTGTGCAGACGATACCGGTTAACCCAAAGCCGTTTTTGAACAACTTAACCGGAAAGACGGTTATTGTTAAGCTCAAATGGGGAATGGAATACAAAGGTATTATTATCTCTTCTTTGCCTTTATGAGTTGATACAATAACCAAAGCTTATGTCTTTATGTTATCTCCCTTGAATCTTATCTCTTAATCACAGGTTTCCTTGCCTCTGTTGACTCCTACATGAACTTGCAGGTACTGTGTTTTTTACCTTCTCTGTTCTGTTGTTAAACGCTATACTTTAGTTATTGAACTTTTAAACAAAGGTGGTTGTTATATTGTCAACACCCCCAAACCAATTTGCTTAAAAGTTAAAGTAGGAAATGCTGAAAATCGATGATTTTTCCATTTTATATCACTGAGATTTGGTTACTGTTTTGCAGCTGGGAAACACGGAGGAATATATTGATGGACAATTGACAGGAAACCTTGGAGAGATCTTGATCAGGTAATAATATAAATCTCATTTTGTCTTCACTGCATTTTCGTTGTTTTTGTCTTCTATATTAGTGAATCAGTGTATGTTTCGAAATGTCATTAGTTCGTGGAATCTTTAAGAGTTGGACTTGGTCGTGCAAATTCATCATATTAGTCTATGTTTATTCATTGCCTTGGAACTTTTGGATCTCTTCTTGGTTTTAATTTTACTAGCTTTGTTGTTAACACAGATGCAACAACGTTTTGTATGTCCGAGGTGTGCCAGAAGATGAAGAACTCGGAGACTCTGAACAAGACTAGTTTGTACCAAGGAAAGTAGAAATCGCCACTCTGTTTCAAGTCTTGATGTATTATTCTATGAGCATTTTAACCCAAGTTTGCTGTTCTTGAATCTTTTGATATGGTTGATTAACTTTCAAACTAAAACGTCGCAAGCTGTTTAGCTCTTTATGAGAAATCAAACTTCTTTCCGGTTTTCTGTTATTGGGAAGGAATGCTTGTCGTTTTAACTATCTTTATTAGACCTTAATCTACGGCCCACTATGTGGTGCCATATGAGTAGGCCTGAAATTTCTCAAATATTTGCAAGGCCTCACATAGTCCCTGAAAGTAGCACATGCAGAAGCTTAACTTTCGGACTACTAAAGAAATTGTAATTCTTTCCGCAATATAAGAGAATCTTCTTTGCGACCGACCATCTTTATTTGCAACTTTGTGTATCAGTGTGTGTGTCATAACATAAGTGGATTTGTTGTCGACAAGCAATAAGCTAAAGATGGCTGAGTTCTCACGACATATTGCTAAAGAACTCAGACTTTTAAATTTTTAAGTATCTATTTATTTATAGTATGACATGATTCGGTTGGTGCGATTTCTCTAACTTGCCATAAAAGTGCTACAAAGTGCATGATTATGTTGATGCGATTGACCATATATGTACCTAATTACATCTATGATGAGTCTCTTTTGTGATAAAGTTTTGATTATGATGCTGAAGAATTAATTGTAATCATATTTTATACACTATCTTCCTCAAAACAATCAATATATTCAAAACTCTCCACTTTCAAGTTTCTACCGACGTAAAGAAACTGTTTACAGTGCTGTGCCAATTTACCTCATGATGATATTTCTACCTCTCTTTTTGTACTACCTCATGCAATGATCTATTCTTTCTTGTTTTTTGGGGCAAAGCAACAAACCCTTGAGGACCACATGAGCTGATAACATTAAAATTGTTATATTGTAATGTTTTTCTATTATGGTAGGTCGCCACTTGCCAATCCACAGTATTTAATTTGTCCACCAATAAGTCTTGACAGTTTTTCTTGCACATATATCATATCCAGCTCGTAACAGTGTACCATGCACGACTTCGGCATAAAATACTCTGGAAAATGAAACTCCTATGTATAAAGATTTACCAACTGAATATCTGCACCATCTTCAAATAGCTTGAACATGATAATAATCATAGTATTTAAATAAAACGTGAACCGCAGATTCTTCTCCAAACAACAACATTGATATATTGGCTAACTGCTACTGCTGCTTGGGCGTATAGTTGTTTTCATTTGGCTGATACGGTGCAAACGGCACATGTCCCCTGATTTTCTTTGAGAACTTAATGATTTTTAGGGGTTTTTTGGTTAGAGAACTGGCCGGTGTGAGTGAATCTTGTAGCGCTCATCAAGTCTTTGACCGTTAGGTTTAGCCGATACAACACTACAAGAAAACGATTTTTAGCTAGGAATATTAACGAGGAAAATGTTTCCTTGTAATATTACGCTGACATTATGAATATTTTACAAAGAAATAAAGATCCCAGGTCATTTCCTGGTAAAATCTTGAGAAATGAGTTTCCTCGTAAAGTCCTAGTAATATTACAAAGAAACTATGTAACTTTTTTGGTTTCCTCGTAAATTCGACGTAAACTTGACTAGGAGTTTACGAGAAAATATTTAGCGAGGAAATGGCGAGTTTTTTTTTTAATTTTAAATTTAAAAACCTATATTATATCTATTTTCCTCGTAAATTACTAGTAAATGTTTACTTACCAAATAAAAAATTTCTGTAAATACAACTATTTGTATTCATTTCGAACACACCAAAAAAATCAGCTTAAAGCTTGAAAGAAAAAAAAATGTCCGGTCCTGGAAATATTTCGAGTTACGGAGGTGGATGTATACACACAAAGATAATAATGGGAGAGTGAGAAAAAAATTTCTTGAAGGGTTGGAGACATTTATGCATCAAACAGATTTTACACCGCTCACGTAGGAAATCGGTAAGATGTTTTGTCCTTGTCGGAAATGCAACAATACAAAATTAGGCACTCGTGAAAATGTTTGGAAGCATTTAATAAATAGAGGTTTCATGCTACATTACTATATTTGGTATCAACATGGAGAATATTAAAGTTGTAGGAATAAAACTAGTAGTACTAATAGCAATTTTCAAAATGAACTGGCCGTTGATCATTTGCATAATGAAAATAGTTATCACCAGGAAGAACATATGGTACATTGTGATATGGGTCATGATATGGTAGATGATGCATTTGTAACTCATAATGATGAAGTTGAAGAACCTAACTTAGATGCAAAAAAAATTATGAAATGTTAGAAGCTGTGAATGAGCCAATTTACAGTGGTTGTAGAGAAGTTCTCTCTAAATTATCGTTGGCTGCTAGAATGATGAGTATTAAAACCAATCACAATCTACCTGAAAATTGCATGGATACATGGGCAGACTTATTTAAAGAGTATTTGCCAGAAGACAATGTGTCTGATGAATATTATTATGAGATTCAGAAATTGGTTTATAGTCTTGGGTTGCCCTCGGAGATGATAGACGTTTGCATCGACAACTGCATGATTTACTAGGGAGATATGAGGAGTCAGAAGAATGTCGATTTTGTAAGAAGACACGATTCAAACCGCAAGGACGAGAACAGAATAAGGTACTGTACCAAAAGATGTAGTACCTACCAATGACAAACAGATTGAAAAGATTGTACCAATCTGAGGAGACTGCTGGAGGGATGAGATGGCACACCGAGCATACTCAGACAGATGGGGGAGATGACTCATCCATCAGATGCAAGAGCTTGGAAACATTTAAACAAAGTACATCCACATTTCGATAGCAATAGTCGATATGTGTATCTTGGATTATGCACTGATGGACTTAGTCCATTTGGAATGTCTGGGAGACAATATTCATTGTGGCCACTCTTTCTTACGCCGTAGAAACTGCCACTGGAGATGTACAAGAGGAACACACTAATGAAATTTAGGAACCTAAAGCATAAATTGAAGAAATTTTACTCATTGATCTGCATAATCGTGAATACGAAGATGTCTCGGATCATACAACAGACGAAGCTGTTGAAGACGAGTTTTACGAAGATGATGATATTTCTAGTGATGCCGAGAATGACAATGATGTATCCGAATGATGGTGTAATTTTTAATATTAATGATTTTAAGACTTAATTATTTATTTCTTCACTTTTTTAATTACGAAAATGAATTTATGGAAGTTTGGGAAGTTGGGATTTGGGGTTTAGGAAGATGTAGAGGTTATAAGTTATGGAAGTTGGGGTTTAGGGTTTGTGGTTTCGAATTTTAGGGATATACAAACATTTCCTCGTAAAACCCTCGTGAGGTGAAAACACGGGACTGGTTATTTCCTCGTAAATGCCATGTAAACCTTTTCCTCGTAAAAGTCTAGTGAGGTGAAAACACGGGACTGGTTCTTTCCTAGTAAATGCCACGTAAGGCTTTTCCTTGTAAAACCCTCGTGAGGTGAAAACACGGGACTGGTTATTTCCTCGTAAGGGGACTAGGGTTTTACGAGGAAATGTAAACACGGGACTCGTTGTTTCTTCGTAAATGAAAACGCGGGACTGGTTATTTCCTCGTAAGGGGACTAGGATTTTACGAGGAAACCAAAATCCTTATATAAGTCGAAGCCATCCGATTTCTCTCATTTGTAGCAATCTCCTCTCCTTTCCTTTTTAAGGTAATAATTAATTTAGGTTACATTAGGTGGTTAGTTTAAGGAATTTAGATTAGGTGGTTAGTTTAAGGAATTTAGATTAGGTTGTTTAGTTTTGGGAATTTAGATTGGGTTTTTTATGTTTTGTTTTAAATGTTTTTAAAAAGTTACTAATATATTTATGTTTTTTTTAAAAATGTTTTAATGTTCTATTTGATTAGAGCGCAAAAGCTTAAGGGTAAGCAGCGGCCGCCGACCGGGAGTCATTACGGGAACATGTTTGGTTGTCCAGGTCCTCGTACAGGCGCATCATCTTCTTCAGCTCCCGGTTCTTTGATTCCGAATAGTGTTCCCGAGTCTCAATTTTTGTCACCCGTTCCCCCTTTTGCTGCACCACCCGCACATCATCATATTCTAGAGGAGGTACCTCCTCCTCCTCCTCCTTCTGCTGCTGCTGCTACTGCCGGGGTTCATCCTGATTTACAAGTGCTGCCAAATGCTCCATATGCTATGTAAACTGTCGATGATCTTCTCGCTTAGCCAGGCAGAGAAGGTTTACCGATCTTAGATCCCGACCGAGTGGACAACACTTACTGGTATGTTTCATTTTTAATTTTTTTTTGGTTTATAACAAACATTAATTAACAAATTTAATACTTTTAATTTGTTTTTTTCAGGTTTCGGGTTGACGAATGTGTCGCTCATAGCGTCATCGACTGTATCAAAGGCTACTTACCCTATGCAGCTTCAAATTGGAGAATGACGCCTCTCCACACCAGAAAGACGTGGTTCATTCGTTGTAAGTGATTAGTAACTAAAAAACTTTGTTTTTAAATTATTTAAAATTTTAATATTATTAGACTAATTATTAACCTAATATTTTTTTAGTTACAGCAATAATGGTTTTGATCCATAGGAGTGTACGAGCGGGCGAAGAGTGAGTTTGAGCATAAGGTGAAAGTACGATTGCTGGACATGGTCTTCAACTGGAAGGACGTTATGAGGTGGATGGTTATGCGAAGGAGAAACCCTCTTGCCTCACATATTTGGTGTGGGATGGCCTCCTCCATTATTGGAACCAGCCAAAGTCGATCAAAACCTCCAACAACTGCTCTGCTAACCGTTTGACGAAAGATGAGTATGACAACACGAAGATGCTCCACAGTTCAGGTCAAAAACCTCATGCCGGAGTCCGTCTAGAAATGGTAAAAATTTTAATAACTAATTTTTTTAATATATATATATATATAATAATTTTTTGAAGATATTTTTAGGCTAAAGAGACAGAAGTTCTTTCATCTCTCAAGGAGCTTTACGAGAGGACACAAAAGAACAAGGCTAGGAAATTTGTAGGTCCTAGGTCCGAGCGAATCTACAACGAGATTGTTGCTCGGGTTAAGGAGTGCCAAACCCAGCTGACTCAGAAGTCTCCCAATGGGTCACTCGTCATATTATCCACACCTGACGTGGATCGGATTTATGAGGAGGTAAATTTGTTTTCTTAGTATTATTCATTTAATTTATATTATTTTCATTAACTAATATTAATCTTTTATTTACAGGTCGTCTCTAAGAAAAAGAGACTTATTGTGGGGATTGGTTCCGTTAACTATGTCCCAAGATTGACATCGTCTTATGCTCAGGAAATGGACAATGAAACTGCTCAGCTGCGTTCAGAGTTGCACGTGACGCATGCTCAAATGGGTTCTCTCGAAGGTTTTATGGACATTTTGGTGGTTGGATATTCGCAATTGGAGATGATGTTGCGTGCCAGGTGGGAACAACTAGGGATTCCACACCCAAAGCCATCGCCATAGCCACAGCCACAGCCAAGCCGCCAGGAGGAGGACGACGAGGTAGAGAGGAGTGAAGACTTCTTCTAGCAGTTTCACGAACAACACCCCTAATTTTTTTTTCTTGTTATTGTATTATACATTTAAAACTCAAATATTTATGCATACATATTTTACTTTTCTTCTATTATTTGAATTTATAATTTATAATTTTTAATTTTTTAAAAATAATTTATTTATATATTTTGATTATTATTTTTAATTTAGGAAAAAAAGGTTTCGAAGTCAATTCTACGTAATTCTGCAAAGATTTTACGAGGATTAGTTTATGTGGAAATAACGAGGAAAAAACATTATGAAGTTTTTACGAGGAAAGTTTACGTGGCTCTAACGAGGAAACTATTATAAAGACTTTACGAGGAAAGTGCTATATGGTTTTAACGAGGAAAATTTTACGAGGCGCTTACGAGAAAATACTGTAGATGACTTTATGAGGAATCCTCGTAAATTAACGAGGAAAGTTGAGTTACGACGAACGTATCACGACGATTTACGTTTCTTCATTATTTTTTCGTAAAGTCTATTTTATGAGGAAATAACTAGGATTAGCCGTCTTAGCTATATTTGTGTTTTCTTGTAATGCGAGTTTTTGTCTTGTCGACTTTAAATTCTTTAAATTATCTATTTTTCTTGCTAGTATCTAGATCATATAAGTTATATGGATCTAAAACACTAGAAAAGACAATGTCAAAATCATGAAAATCTCAATACATCATCGTGTGAGTAATATTTGTCTTTAGATTGGTTCCAAACAGTGCCGGATCTGAGGGTAAACATATAAAACATTGGTATGGGGCTCATAAATTTATGGGGTCTATAATTTAAGAAAAATCAAATCTTTTTAGCATTTGTTTAATTTTTCTTTTAATTTTTTATTCAAAATATTAATACATTAGAGTAAAAAACGTTACGGAAGAAAAACAAACATATGAAATAGTGCAACATATAGATGTACATAAATACCATTATAAATCAATTATTATTTGATTATTTTTAATTTCTTTTATTAGTTTTGTATGGAGCCTCCAAAATTTCTGGATTGGCTCTGGTTCCCAATATAAACTTAGATCTTTAAAACAAAAACAAACTTAGATCTAAGAAAAAATGTTAAAAAATAAAATTTATTAAAGTTTATAGTAGAATTCTGATAACCCAAAATTTTAGGACCGATCTATCTATAGATACACACATTAGAATAAGAGACTTACCGATTCAAAAAGACTATTTATATTTGTGTGTCACATGGAAATAAAAATAAATAACTCTGGTAGTACCAGAGAAAAAATAAGATAAAATGAAAAAGATAATATAAAAAGTAAGAAACGTTACACCAACCCGAAATCACAGAAGTAACGTGAACACAAAAGAGGTTAAAAAAGGAAATAAAAATAACTATTTTAACCCTTTTACGTGGGCCCACATCTGATCTCTTTAGGCCTCTCTTCTTCTTTCCCATAGTCCCATCATCTCCTCTCTCTCTCTGTCACACACACAGCTTCCTTCTCTCTCTCTCTCTCTTCTCCTCCTCCGGTTTCTCCGTGCTTATGAACTTTACCAAAGAAGAGAGGGAGAGAGAAAAAGACTCGTCTCGGATGATCTCTTCTTAGCTCGGCGAATAGCTTTCCTTTTTAGGTAAGCTAACTTTCCTTATTCTCTTGTCTTTTTCTCCCCTTTTTTTCGCCGATCTCTCTCTCTCTCTCCCTCACAAGTTTTATTCTTTCTTCATACTAACTTTTTGTTTTGTTTTGTCCTTTGTCTTCTTCACATCACAGGTTTTGAAGATCTTTTTGTTTGGTTGGTTCTTAGAGTAATGTGGGTTTGATTACTTTCTTAGCTCCATGGATTCTTCTCTCGATGGTATGTTTAAATATTTCGATTTTGGGTTTCAATGGTTGCTTAAGATGTCTCTTTGTTCTTCCCTATGTAATAATGCTCTCTCTCTCTTTGGATGCTTGATATGTTCAAAGTTGTGTTTTTTTTTTAATTCAATTTATCTCAAAGTTTGAGACTTTTTTAATTATTTATCTGCAACTGATTTAGATTACTAGCTTCTTTATGTTTTTCTCATTGGTGATTCTTCTGATGGTGTGTCTTCACTTTTGTTGTTGATTGGTTCTATGTTTTTCTCCCACTATTATTGGGTCTTTTCTTTAATACTATAATCGTGCCTCAAATGACTATAGAATAAGATTCCATGAGATGTCACTACTGTTTAACTTATTCATAAAAGAAAAAAAAGGATCATACTTTGATTTGATTCTCTTAACTTGCTGACTTATTCCTTGATGGCTCATGGACCCTTTGCTTTGGATCTTGTTCCATTCCTAAAGTACATGATCTTTGCTTCCTTTTCATCTTGTTTGGTTCCTCTCTGATGTCTGTTGAGTCACGGTTTGGTTGAAGCTTCTTTGTTTTAAGTCTGTTAGTTATCTAACTTTAAGAGTTTGGAACTATTCTTCTCAAGTTTTAGTGTCAAGGATCAGCATTTCTGTAAGGCATATTCATGTAAGATGATGTTGTGTGTGTTTTTTGGTTAGGACATTGTTCTCCATTGCCTTCACTTTCTTTTCTTCTATACACAGGAGGAGCTGCAGGTGACTCATCGAAATGCAGTGAAATGAGTGTTGAAGAGAAGAGGCGGCTTGTTTACGAGCTGTCAAAGCAATCACATCTAGCTCCTGAAGTGTTGCAGGCATGGAGCCGCCAAGAGATTTTACAGATCTTATGCGCTGAGATGGGGAAAGAGAGAAAATACACTGGCTTGACCAAAGTCAAGATTATTGAGGCTCTTATGAAAATTGTATCCGAGAAAAGCTCTGGAGAGTGTGATGGGAAGAAGAAGAGAGATTCTGAGTCTTCCCCTGTTCAGAGAAACTCAAAGAGACCAAGGAAGGTTGATAACCCTACTCGTTATGTGGTTCCAACGACCAACAATGCCTCAGGTAGCCCCAACTCTGTTACTACTAAAGGTGAGGAAGACAAGACTACTTTCTGCAACAACTTGGCTTGCAGAGCTATAATGAGACAAGAAGACACGTTTTGCAGGAGGTGTTCTTGTTGCATTTGTAGAAAGTATGATGAAAACAAAGATCCTAGTCTTTGGTTAACATGTAGTTCAGATCCTCCGTTTGAAGGTGATTCTTGCGGATTCTCGTGTCATCTTGAATGTGCTTTCAAGAGTGAAAAGTCTGGTCTTGCAAAGGAAAGTGAGGAGTGCTGCTTTTACTGCGTCTCTTGCGGTAAACAGAACAGCTTGCTTGAATGTTGGAAGAAGCAGCTGACGATTGCTAAAGAAGCCAGGAGGGTAGACATACTCTGCTACCGTCTTTTACTAGTCCAGAAGCTTATCAATGGATCGAGTAAATATCGAAATCTAAAACAAGTTGTGGAGAAAGCTGTGAAGATTCTTGAAGCTGATGTGGGTCCTCTCACTATGAAAATGGGTAGAGGAATTGTAAACAGATTAAACTCAGGACCTGATGTGCAGAAACTTTGCTCTTCTGCTCTTGAATCTCTTGAAGTTTCTGCATCGCCTTCACCACGGAGCTCCAAGATGCAGCATGGTCAGCTTACTTATCACACAAATGAGATTGAGTAATGTTTTTTAAAGTATGATCAAATAATGTTGTTTCTCTGTTTTTTGTTCGTTTGCTAGATTGTTTGAGCAATGAGATGTCTGCAGATACAGCAACCACAGTACCACCAACCAAGATCAGATTTGAGGATGTTAATGCAACTTCACTCACAGTGATTCTCGCCTCTAATGAAGTCACCTCACCTGCAAACATCGTTCATTACAGTATTTGGCATCGTAAGGTCACTGAGAAAGAGTACCAAGAGAAGTCTACTTGCACATTGTTTACTCCAAACGCAAGATTTGTCGTCTCTGGATTAGCTCCAGCTTCTGAGTATTGCTTCAAGGTTGTCTCCTTTAGCGGAACACGAGAACTTGAAGTCGATGTGATCAATGTAATGACTCGTAGCCTTGAAGAAAGAAGCGAAAGCCCTCTCACAAACTGTAGTACATTGTCTTCTAACCCTTCTTCTGTTGAAGCTGAGTCCAACAACGGCTACATTGCTCCTCAGAACCTCTCTCAGAACGACAAGAAAGACTCTCCCTCGCCTAGGGAAGCAGACATTGTGCAGATTGAGAAGAACGTTGAAGGGGTTGTGTTGTTGGATGAAGGGGAGGAAGAAGCTGTTCAGGACAAGAACATCGCGGTTACTAAGACAAATCTTGTTAGTAATGGAAACAGTTCTCCAGTTACTCCCTTCAAGTCAGACCAAACCAAGAACCGTCAAGCTAGAAACAAGAAACCGGTTAAAGATAACGGTAATAACGGAGATCATCACTCGGCAAACGGAGGAGCAGAGATTGGATTAGAGCATTGTGTGAAGATCATAAGACAGCTTGAGTGTTCAGGACACATCGAGAAAGAGTTTAGACAGAAGTTTCTGACTTGGTATAGCTTAAGAGCTACGCCACAAGAGAGCAGAGTTGTGAAGATATTCATGGATACGTTTACTGATGATCCCGTAGCTTTAGCTGAGCAGCTGGTTCATACTTTCAGTGACCGCATTACGATGAAGCGTTCTGCGATTGGCGTTGGTGTTTCTGCGGTTGTTCAGTCTGGATTCTGCATGAAATTGTGGCATTAAAGATGACTTTATCGGTTTTTATTTAAAGGTCTTTAGCTTATTTCTGTTTTTTTTTTTCTTTTTCAAAATCGTTATTAAACTTTATTTATCATTATTGGGAAACTTGCATTATTGGAATATTTCCATGTTAGCAGAAGTATATTAGCAATTGTGAACTTCCATGTTAAAAGAGATCTATGCTTCTACTACGTTTGCTTCTTCTCTTCAAGACATTTTCAAGTTTGCTATTAGATACATCTTACGTAGTAAGGCTTGGCTCAACTTGTTTGAGAATAAGACGGCTTTCACTAGCCCTGGGCATAAAAACTGGAACCAAAAAACGGAACCGGAACCGAACCGAAATATCCAAAGCCGAAACCGTACCAAAATTCTTAAATATCCGAATGGTTCCTATATTTCTATACCCAAATAACCGAATCAGAACCGGAATCGAACCGAGAACCGAACGTGTACCCGAATATCTGAAAAACATGTTAGAGTTTTTTAATATAAGATAAAATGATATCAAACCCTCTTGAACCCATGTTAGATACAAAGAGTAAGTACATTTTTACCATCAGACCACATATATTTTATTTATTCTCTTATGTTATAAATATATATAGCATTTCTATATTAAAATACGATAAATATTTATAAAATTAACACTTTATTGATTCGAATTCTTGTTGGATTGACGAATATGTAAGCATGTAAACACTAGACCATTTAAATTAACATATTAACTAATATATTCTCTTTGTATATATTTGATTTATATATTCAACGAGTACCCATGACCGAACTGAAACCGAACCGAATAGAAATCTCATAAGTACTTATTGGGTATAAGAATGATTTATCCGATATATCCGGAACCGAATGGTTCCTATCTGGAACCGAACTGAATATCCGAATGCCCAAGCCTAGCTTTCACAATGAAGAAAGATTATGGAAAAGAAGAGAGGGAGGCTCAATGGGGACTTTCTCAAAAGTCACATCAAGGTTTCCAGCCAAAAGAAGCTGTTAACATGTTCCCTGAGAAAGACATTATTAGAGAATTTTCTAAGATTGCAGTGCATGCTATGAGAAGAGCTGAGATTGCTAGGTAATATATAAGCCTTTATCTCATTCTTGAAATAGATACAGGTTCTTTGTTTGAAATTAAAACACTTTAACTGAATGTTTTATATGTTAACAACAGGCTTAGGGAGTTGCATACACTCAAGGGACATGTGGAATCAGTAGTGAAGCTAAAGGGCTTGGGCATTGAAACTCCAGGACACTGCACTGCCTACTACGTTCTTGTTTTTGTTCTTCACCACCTATTAAGGATATTGTTTACATAGGAGAGATCTTTGTTTATTGCTATTACTCTTTCCCAAATCATATTGTTAGTGTTCTAGTCTCTCCGAGTTCCATATGTAAACTCTTGTGAAGAATCAAGGCATGCCTTTGTGTTTGGCACCTTACACAACACACAACACTCTTCTTTGATCTTATTCCATGAGCCTATGTAAGCCTTATCTTCTTTCTTCCTAAACAAATTTGTAGCTTTCTAGTTTCATTTGCTTCCCAAAAACAAAAAGCTATTGTGGACCTCAATGTTACACTTACATCTATCAAAGGAAAAGACAACAAACAATTTGCAATTTTAAAATGGGAAATTATCTGAAAAAGAGGAAATAACCCAAACTAATTTTACCAAAAAAATAATCCAAACTAAGTCTTTTTTTGTTGCTTTGTTTCCACTGGAATATTCAGTTTATAATATTTTGAGAAAATTTCATTTGAAAACATGACATGAGACAAGTTGTGTAGTAGTAAGTAGTACGGCAAGAATCTTAAGAGAAATAGAGATATGGTGAGTGCGAGTGATTTTGAGACACGTGCAAAGATATGGATGATGGCTTCAAATATAATATTATGACTTACGTTATTTCATCTGAATTTCCTCATTTTTGTAGAAAATTCTGCTGCTGAATACAATTAGTATTAACTTGTTTTACTCAGTAATGATGTACTTGTAATTTCTGCTGCTAAATGCATATATGTTTAACGGACCACTTTGGTGATTATATGATTAGTAATCACATATCAATTGTTTGATATTGTTTAATAGAAAAATTGTAAATAACAATTACTTTTTCCATTCCACAAATATAATAATTTTGACATTTTTATTTGTTTCAGAAAAAATATTAGTTTGATTCAACTGGAAAAACTGAAACCAATGCAGGGGACAGTTAAAATATACACATGTTTGTCAGCTAAAAATGATAAGAATATTAAATACATTACAAATTAAGGATTTGTGAATAACTTTACTTTGCATCACAACCAACAATCAGATTTTTGATCGAGTTACATAATTGTTTATTCACTAACCATAAGAGAAGAAAATAAAACAACTATAGTATTAATACATATCTCTCGTTCTTAAAGAAAACGAGAGAAAATAACAGACAGCGATGACTCTAGTCCAGTGACAAATATAACAAAAAAAAACTAAAAATTACAGGTCAAGTAGTATCTTGAACGATCGTCTTAAGAGCACTCGTCTGCAACTCAAGATATTTAATGTAATTGCCAATCTCACTCAACATTTCTTCCACATTCATCTCTTTTCCACCTGGCAAAAGCTCCTGTAGTTCCTTCATTTTCTCCTCTATCTCTCCATCTTCGTCGTTGGATCTTTCTAGAATCTGAGTTTGATTGGAAGAAGAACTTTTACTGTCTGCGGACGATAACTTCTGTAGCAAGAAACGGCCCCATGCAAATTCTTGAGCAGACAAAGCCAAAGCCATGTCTACTTCATGCTTCACGGTTACTTGGTTTATTTGTGAAGAGTTCTTGTCCATGTTGAGCTTCTTGAGTGCAGGAACTAAGTGGCTTGTGTATTTCCTCGTGAAAACTTCACTAGGGGATAGCTTGGTTGGTTCCACAGAGAATACTTGTTTCTTCTTGCTTATGATTTGTCTCTCCATATGAAAAATTGTTCTTGCTTCAAAGGAAAGTCTACAAAGGAGAAGCTCACATATATAGCAAACTTGGAGCATAATTAATGGGAATTCTTAGGATAGGGTTCTTAGAGGAATATAAAAAACCATCTATTAACTTTTAACTTAAAAAGACTAATTTTTAAATGTTTTATTTAAAAGCCGGTTCTTAATTTTTTTTAATTAAAAGTTGAGAGACAGTTTCTTATATTCCGCTAATAAACTCATCCTAAACAACTCTTGTTAATCATGCTCTTAGAATGTGTGAGAAACAGAGAAGAAAATAGTGGGTCCTACATTTGTTTGTATGTAACAATGAATGATTAGGTATAAGGAGGTGTTCCACAAAAAAAAAATGGTATAAGGAGTGATTTTGTAGAATTTATTTTGAACTTGGTTTCCTTTGTATATAATACATACATGGCCGAATTTGAGTTTCTCGGAAATAATAACTCTGTAATTTTGAGAGCAAAAAGGAATGTTACATCCTGTATGTTCATGTACAAAAGAACAATATATAATCTCTTTTTTGAAACAACTATTGAAAGAACAATGGAATACTAATATTACCAACTGACTCAATCTTTTTTTTTATATTTTCAAAATATAATTGAAAAAGGACAAAGATATAGAATATCACAATAAATTATATATTACATCAAGGTAGAGAACAAGAAGGGAATAATAATGGGTGAGGGAAGAAAAAACACATGAAGTCACATGCAAGGGCTCTTATTTTGGCTGCATCACAACTACCCCTAAGAGAGGTGCTTGTGGCTCCATTCCAAGAACAAGACATCAATACAAAACCCTACCTTCTATTAATGCCTTCACATGTTCCTCTCTCTCATACCCACACACACATTCCACTTGGTAAAAATTACTTAGCAAAAAAATATATATATGCATGTGTATGTGTCCTTGGATTTCCCTAATTTGTATCGAACTACGTAATTTTCACCAATATTACGTACAGAAGCTGAATCTCCCTCCTATATTACATTTGGCCCTTTAATGTATCCTTCTGGATGTGTGATGAATATGAATTTTGGTTTCACTATTTAATCCGTTTGCAACCTTTAGATACAAAATTTCGGATGCATGATGGTTACTTATTTTCTTTGCTAGCTAAAAGCAGATGGTAACTTGCTGAAATATTGATTATAATTCGTTAAATCGATCATCTGAGGGGCAAAACATCAATATAAATCCGAACTTGACCTTTATTTGCTACTGTCAAAGGTAACTAGCTATTGATCTGATATCGTTCATATGATATTTCGCTATGATACAACCCAAAAAACTATATACGTACAGAACAATTATTTTAATAAAATACTAGAGCTTGCGGGTGCAGATATTAATTTCTTTATATAAATTAGTATTTATTTTTTGTGATCACAATTATATATTTAGATATGTCACCATATAACTAATTGTCTATTAGTTATTTAAATATTTTTGGGTTCTTTTTAATACTTAAACGAAGTCTAATTTAAAATTAAAAATCTAATATTTGAAATAAACGATTCGTATCCAGATGGATATTTTAACACCCTATTTCTAATTGATTCTGTAAATAGATAAAAAAAAATTGTTAATCATTTCAAATTCATGTTCAAAATGGAGCAGTTTCATTCAAACATATCGAATTGTTAACATATAAAATAAATTTGTTCAAATTATTATGTTATAGACAATTAATGAAATAATTAGGAAAATGAAAAAAAAATTTAAAAGATAAAACACTTAAAAGTATGAATTATTGTTTTCTATTTTGTAATAAATTATATCGAATTATTTGGAAAATATAATAAATGAAGTAGTTATAATCCATGCTTGGGAACGCACTAGGCTTGCTAGTCGGGCGGCACGGTTGTGCCTAGCGCATAGAGAGAAAATTGGAGATTAAACGGGGATTATACGGGGCGATTTTATAGACTATTTGATATGTTATGAAATATGTTAATCTTTAATTGTGTCTAATACTAACAAAATTTTTATGTTTAGAATCTTATAAAACACACAAATATAGTATAAAATTAATATGATATAATTTTTATCAAAATTATAATTATAAGTTATATTTATTAAATTTTAGATCAAATACATAGAGAAAAAATATTACTGAAAAATAAAAAAAAAAATAGATTGAACGGCCGTCTAGGTGGCTAAGCAGTCATCTAGGCAGGCTAAAATCGGACGACTGATTTTCTATAGTAAATTGACATAAATTGGGGTGGAAGAAGATCGTTTAGCGCGTAGACGGCCACCTAGCCGGCTAAACAGCCAATTTTTAGAACATAGGTTATAACTATTTAGAAAATACAATAAATGAATTGGTTAAAAGTATTAAAGGAAATGTCTAAAGAATAGTATCTACAGCAGCTAAACATGTTCGGTCAAGACATTACATACAAGTTGTCCCTTAATCGATAAAACATGCAATACATTATGTATTATACCTACATTATTAGCTTTTGATATTAACATCAAAAACTGAATGTTCTCTTATTGGTGTTGTTGTGTTCTTTATCCAACCGCATAAAAAGTCAAGGGTTAGTAGATTGCAAATTAATGTACCAAGGAGATCCAAAATTGCTTATAGCTCGTTTAAATATTCTTATTTTAGTTAGAATTGTTGGATCTGTGAAAATTCATGTCTAATTATTTATTATCCGATTAGTACGGTATTATCTATTTTGGATTTTAGAAGCTGATCCGTATAGATTTATTTTTAGTTTTTTTTTCCAAAAAGTTTCATACTATTAAAGTTAGATTTCTCTTTATACATTAGACTTTTCTTTGTCTAAGTTTTGATATGGATTTTGTTTATTATCTCACATATTCTCCTTAAACTAAGACAGTTTATGTCACGACTTCCTCTTCTTACTTGAAGAATCTTCATTCATATTTTAAAGAGTATTTTGATCTTTTTGCATATCTTTGTTAAATCACTTTGATATTAATTATTTGATTTGTGAAAATCTATGTCCAATTCTTTATTATCCGAATAGTACGATATTGTCAATTTTGGGTTTTAGAAGCTGAACCGTATGAACTTACTTTTGATTTAAGGTCTCGTACTATTAGAATTGAATTTCTCTTTCTATATTAGATTTTTTTGTCTAACTTTTGATGTGAGAATTTGATTATTATTTCTCCAGAATATGATGTTTTCTCTTATATTTTGGTGCAATCCCATAATCTTTGACTAAACGTGAATAACATGTGTTTACGGTAACCATCTAGATGCGTCAACTGCTTTATTCATATTCGAGTATATCATAATGAAAAAAGAAATAGAATATAAAGGTACGTAGAGTACTTTACTAGTTGGAAAAATGATATCGTTCAATGAGCAGAGTGATCATTAAAACGCAGCGTTTTGACAAAGGCGATTTTGGCGACGAAAACGGCGATCGTAGTTTCTAAATCTCCGCTGTCTTCTCCGGCAGCAGAGATGGGTTCTAAGGAGGTTCTCGGGGATCAATCGCCTCCGATTAAGCAATTGACGGAGCAATGGGTCCCTGTTGCTCAAGGAAAACAGGTTTTGAAGAAATTTGAGTTTGAAATGTTGGAATCAGAAGGGAAGAAATCGGTTGAGGTGCCGTCTGCGATCATCGAGGAGGGCAATCCGTTGTGGGAAGACTTTGTTATAGCAAGGTTTCTGGACAAAGCTCCTCACGTAGCGAAGGTTCACATGATCGTTAATAAGATTTGGGCGTTCGGTGAAAAGAATCAGAAGCTCGATGTCTACGAAATGGATGACATGACGATGAGGATTCGGATTACGAATGAGAGGATCCGAGGAAAAGTTATTAGAAGAGGGATGTGGAACATCGCAGGTGTCTCTATGATTGCTTCAAACTGGTCTCCGGTGGAGGATGCTTCGAAGTCAAGTCTCGTTCCTCTCTGGGTTCATGTCACTGGAGTTCCAATGAGTATGTATTCATGGGATGGATTGAGCTTTATAACAAGTGCAGCTGGTGTGCCTGATCACCTCCACCCTGAGACTCTCGCTTGCAAAAACTTTGACATTGCTAAGGTTTTTGTGAAAGTAGACTTAAGCAAGGATCTACCTGATGCCATAGACTACAATATTCAAGGGGAGGTTACGACGGTTCGTTTCACGTATCCTTGGTTGCCACCGAAATGTACTAACTGTGGGAGCTGGGGTCATTATGAGACGTTTTGTAAAGTAACTAAGAGAATGGTTGAAATGGAGATACCTGGAAAAGAAACAAGAGAGATGAGTTTGGAAAATCAGATGGAAGAGGCAGTGCAGAAGAGTGCTGGAAAGGAAGTTGAAAAAGGAAGTATGAGGAGCAGTATTATGGAGGGAGAGAGTAGTAAAGTACAAAATGTTGAGGTTAAGGAAGGCAAGGAAGGAGAATGGGAGAAAGTTTCAGTTGAAAAAGCGAGTAGAAGTCCATCACATGTTCTAAAGTTTGGCCAAGTAACAATTGCAACTCCGTCTAGGTTTGCAGCTTTGAGGAATTCTGATGAGAAAGGTGAGGCGATTCAAGATGAACCTGATGGAGTTGAGGAGGGTGAGATAGATACAGTGGAGGAGATTGATACGGAGGGTGCAGAGGATGTTTGTCAAAGGAAAATTGAGGAGAGCATTGAGGCCAAGAGAACAAGGCAAACTCTTCCTCGGCAATCTAAGACGAATCATAGGCTGTTCCAGGGGCGGGGTACTAATAAAAATCTCTAATGGCAGGGTTCTTTTGGAATATGAGAGGGTTTAATAAAAAAACTAAGCATGAAGTTGTGAGGAATTGGATGAGAAGTCAGAATTTTTTGTTTGGATGTTTGATTGAAACAAGAGTGAAGGAGAAGAATGCTAGTGGGATTGTTTCAAGTGTTTTTCCTGGTTGGGATCTTATCTCAAATTATGAATACAGTAAGTTGGGCAGGCTTTGGGTAATTTGGCAGTCTTCTGTGAGGGTCACTCCGGTTTTTAAAAGTGATCAACTGATCAC